CCGAGTTTTAAGAAACTGCGTATAATGGGCATGGTGGCATGCGCCTGCAGTCCCAGCTGCTACTCCAGAGGCTGAGATGGGAGAATCGCTTGAGCCTGGAAGGTTGAGGCTGCAGTGAGCAGTGATTGTGTCACTGCACTCCAGCCTGGGCAACAAAGCAAGACTCTGTCTCAAAATGAAATGAAATGAAATGAAATGAAATGAAATGAAATGGAAACTGTGTATGAGCCTCCCATGATGGCAGGAAAGGTAAGCTACTATTATTTAGAACAAAAACATTTTTAGGCAGCTGACTTTGTGTGAAGGTTAACTTTTCCTCCTCATTGTGGGAGGCTCATGTTGCATAAGAGATGCATTCCACTTTGCCCTAGCTCACCTCCAAGCCAAAAATTTTCCAAAAGGGCACACTACAGAAAGGACCCATAGTTAAATGTTTGCAAAACAATTTGCCACCCACCCTCTTCTGAGTCACCTCTTCAAGCTGGCAACCTTTCAACCTGCTGATGTTGCCACCCAGTATCAGGGGCATGTGTGGACTCCTTAAGGTTTTTTCCCAAGGCATGGTAGCAGCTGCTGGAGTTGGTGAGGGGGACAGGTCAAGTAAAAGACCTGGTCACAGATTCTAGATGGTTAGGACACTAAAGTAGAAGACTGGCCGACCGCAGTGGCTCACGCCTGTAATCCCAGCACTCTGGGAGGCCAAAGCAAGTGGATCACTTGAGGCCAGGAGTTCGAGATCAGCCTGGCCAATGTGGTAAAACCCCATCTCCACAAAAATACAAAAATTATCCAGGCATGGTGGTGTGCGTGCACACACACACACACCCCAAACAATGTAGAAACTTAAAAAAAAAAAAAAGTACAGGACTGAGCGGAGAAGAGATAGAGGGAGCAGGCTAGGCACACATGAATAAAGAGAATATATGATGAATGAAGTGGACAAAGAAAAACCAAGATAAATAAAAAAGAAAAGAAAGAGAAAGAGTCCATGGCACAGCACTCCAGCATAAAGTACAAGGTACCCTAAAGGCATTTCTCAGTCTAAACAAGACTACAAAAAGAAGATTGTGATTTAGGGAAGATGGTAAAAAAATGGATGGCACCAAAGTGACAATAATTAGAGGAAAAATGAGGAAGGTGTTTGGTTAAGAAACAAGGCTTCTATAGACATTTCTTTTTATATTTTGTGTAAGTATGTGTTATGTATATGTTATGTTCATATCAGTAGCTTTGAAAGCATACTTTTATGTTATCGACATGTCTTTATGTGAAAAACGACAAGACTTAAAGATTTGATTTTCATCCGTAAACCACATTCCTTGACTCTAGTCAAGCCTCCCAGAGTAACAGACAATAAAAACTAGTCTTTTCCAAGCCAGTCTAACTCTGAGGTGGTGGCTATTAGGTTTCTATTAGAAACATTAAGAAAAATAAATGATTTTAGAATCATGGAAAAAGTACTTTCCAACAATCTTGGTGCCACAGATATAAAATTTTTGAATTTGGAAAATATTTAGTGAGAGATATTTATTATAACAGTTGAAATAATAAAAATCTATTGCTTTCTTGCCACTGAGCTTAAGCAAAGAAAAAAAAAACTATTGCTTTTCTCAATTGCTTAGAAAGCATAACTGAAAGTGGACACACTGAAAAGACTGCAGTGGAGATCCTTCAATTTCAGCCTCTGGAGATTATAGTTACTTACCCCATAAATATATATATCTACTATGTATCCATGAAAGTTAAAAATAAAAAAAAATTAAAACAAAGATTACAGTTACTATGTAACAACCAGAGTTCTTTTTTTTTTTTTAAGTGATTGCCTTCCACTAAGGATATAAAGATAAATATTAACCAGTGTTGCAGTGAACTGGTTGGCCAAAGATAGCAGGTCTTAACATTGGTTGTGCATAGGAAACAACTGAGGTGCTTAAAAAAAAAAAATACTGACACCTGGCTCCCACTCCCAGAGATTTGGATTTTAATAGGTGAGATGCAGCCTGGGCATCAAGAGTTTTAAAAGCTCCCCAGATTTTTCTAATATACAGCAAAATTTGAGAAACACTAAAAACCTTGCTACTGACCAGTATGGTCCATGGACCAGCAGCATTGCTATTACCTGAGAGCTTTTTACAGATGCAGAATGTCAGGCCTCACGTCGGGCTGATGAATTAGAATCTGGATTTTTCCAAGGTTCTCATGTGGTTTGGTTTATATGTACATGACTGTCTGAGAAGCACTGCTCTAAGGAATTCTTGTCACTAATCATTTTTTCTTTCTCAGATGTTAGATAGTAATTCCCTAGTTAATAAAAGATGAAAGAAAAATAACTCAAATTTCATTCTCTAAAACTCAGGAAAAAAAGACTTTCATCTGTGACATTCTGTAGCATGATAAAAGGTGATTGCTGTGAGTTGAGATCCATATATGTAGGGTTGCCAGATAAAATATAGGATAGTCAATTAAATGTGAATTTCAGACAAGTGATATTTTTTATTTTTAGTGAAAGTATGTTCCAAATATTGCACAGGGCATATGTATACTAAAAAAACTATTCATTGTTGATTTGAAATACAAATTTAACTGGACATCCTGTGTTTTCATCTGCTAAATTTGGCAACCCTACATATATTCCCAGGAGCCTCTCTTTGCTCTCTAGGCTCTCTTAGTTAAAAAAAAAAAAAAAAAAAGGAAATGATACCATAAATGGCCAAGTGACTGCCCCCTAAGCTGTCTAGACTGATTGCCTGTAATGTTGTTTCTCATCCAGCCCAGACACAGGACTCTGACTTAGGGAAGCCAGGCTGGTGACTCATCTAAGTGGGAAATTTACTTGCTGACTCAGGAGGACATAGTTCTTGGCAAACTTTTGCCTTAGTATAAACCAAAATGGAAAAAAATATATAAGCAAATGTTAAATACAGGAGAATGAATTCAAACACTTTAACTGGAGGCAGCAGGCAAATTAATCGCATATTTTCTTTCAGTTGATTAAATGAGATATTCGTGGTTTCCTCTTTTACCAGAGCTTATCCTAAAAAGGGATTTTTGAAAACAGCAAAAGGTTTTATTTAAATATGAAAATGGTAGAGAGAATAAAGATGGACTGAAGTCAGTTAGGTATAGAGCATAAAGTTCATTGCTCACTTTAGGAGAAAGACTGAGATAGCTGACTTGCCCATGGTTGCACTCAGGGTTTGGCATTTTTCTTAAGAATTAACTGCTAGTTAAGTCCTCTCAGAGGCCACTTTCCAAGAATAAGTTTTAAATCAGTTTTCTCAATATTCCATGTAACTTGTGTATTCACGAGCAAATTCTTGGAGCAGAGACGTAGGTGTGGCTTGGGTGGAAGCTCTCCCTTTGCAAGCCTGGTAGAAGAGGAAACTAAATTTACTTAACCAGTTCTGATTGTTTTCATATTTGAAAAGGTTTTGATGGGAAAAAACCTGAATAAAATAATTGTGGATATGTGCAATTATGTTGTATTAATAATTTTTTTCTTAAATAAGCCCATAGTTGTTTTTCAGTAGGTCCAAAATGGAAGTTAGATACCAACTCTTTTTTTTTTTTCTTTTGAGCTTCTGAATCTTTTCGACTGAAGTTGGACCCTTATATTTAATGACTATTAGCTATGATATTAACAATCCTGGTTTTAGGACTAGAAAGCAAAACAACCTGTTTCCAGCAAGTACAGATAGAAATTATCATTTCAAAGCAAAGCCCATAAAAAACATACCATAGAAGTTTCATAAACACAACAGTCCCTGCAGACATGATGGAGAAGGGACTAAGTATTAAGAACTATGGTGTACAGGAAAAATAAATACAGTCACAAATGCTTTGTGGCTGAATCTATCAAGAAATGAAACCTATTTTTTCTCTGCTTTGAACTTGGTCTGGCCATCTCACTTGCTCTGGCCCAACAAAATGTGGCAGAAATGATGTTGCACAAGCAAGCCTAGGCCTCAGGAAAGCTTGCAGCTTCCACCTTTGCTGTCTTGGAGCATTGCCCTGAGGAGCTTCAGCTGACTGGAGGATGAGAGGTCACAAGAAGAACTGAGATGCTCTGCTGCTAACAGCCAGCAGCATTGCCAAATACATGTATGAGGCCATTTTGGACCTTCCAGTCTAGCCATACCTTTACCAGAATGATGCTGCTTGAGTGAGCCCAGGAGATGCCAAAACAGAAACTACTAGTGAACCTACACAGAATCATGAGAAATAAGAAATCATTGTCTAAAGCTACTGGGGTTGTCAGGGGGAAGAGTTGCTATGTAGCAATAGGTAACTAAAAAGATGGAATGCTGAAATTTCACTAAGTTTAGTTTCACTAAAACTCCCCAAAAGAAGTTCTTAAAAAAAAAAAAAAAAATCAGGTCTCATCATCTCCACCCCAGAAATCCTGATTTGGCTAGGCCTGGCATCCCACTTTTAGTACAAAGACCCTGGATGGCAGTGGTCCTCAGACCGCCTTTTGAGATACACCCCCTAGCAAGATTTTCTTCAGCACAGGGGAGGCTTGAGGTAGGTGGCCATATAGCTGTGTATTGCTCCTGCAAATGATGCCACTGGAGCACGTGCACATTTGTATCATCGTCATCATACGCAGTGTCCCAGGTACCAACAGAGCATTTTTGTTTATATATATCTAATTATAAAATGGAAATTGAAAAGATTATTTCTATTCTTCCTCACGTATCTAATATGGATTATTGGAGAGGGGGTTGAATGGGAGCAAAATAGCACCGTCCCCTGCGGAAATGGGCTTGGTGGAGACTTTGACTGATATGGGTTAAAGTCTTGATATGGGCTACACAGCAAAAATGCAGGTGAGATGAGGCAGAAGTGGGATAAAAAGTGTGCAGATGTTTTTGAGCATTATGAAAGGGAGAGGAGAATAGGGAAGGTAGATGCTCAGGGAGGTTTATTTGAGTGGAGAACCATATAAATTGTAGGTGAATATGCTGAAACCACTATAAAAAAATGAAAATGAACGTGCCTGAGGGAAATGACTGAGTCTTTTATTTATTTGTATGCTCTCATCATAGCTACAGCATGATAGGTGTATCATAAAACAAAGGTGGTGTGAAGTGTTGAAAGCTGTAGTTTTCAGGTGTACTTGACGGTGGTCCTCTGGCGGCATCTGGGTCCTGCTTTTTCTTAGTCTTATATATGTAAATTCAGTTGGTGTGCCATTTGAAGGGTTCCGCTGCTAAGAAACGTTTGAAAACCAATGAGTTAAAGCATGAAGGAAATGCTATTTAATTGAAGAGAAGGATTGATTATTAGACAAGTGATATTGACATTTCTGAGATGGCTGCTTTTCAGCGGCAGATGAAAGATTCAAATGTAATCTTCCTGGGGTTCTCTTTTACCCTCAGGAGGTGAGGAGAACCCAAGAAAACTCAATAGTAGCCACTTCCCAAGGACATTTAGGGAGATCAACCTGCATTTCTTTTGCTACAGTGAAAGTGAAAGAACTTGTGGTGAAAACACACATTTCTAGTATAGTAACAGAACTTCTACTCAGAATTTTTTTAAAAAGTTATTTGTGACATTTTAGTTGCTGAAATAAAGAGTATGATGAAATCATAGATACGTACAGATAGTTGGCATAGTAGATCCCTTCTGACTCTTCTGAGCCTGAACTCACCAAAGAAATATTTTGAACTCTGATACTCATTAAATAAGGATTGTTTTCCCTTTTTCTTGGGAAAAAGGTGAAATCAACTGTTATTTGTAGGTATCACACAAATATATGTATGTTTTTGTCTATAATAGAAATTATATATGTTGTAGTAAAAGAAAATATATAACATTTCATAATTACCGTGAGAATCCTTTTTGTTTATAAATTATGCCTACATGTAATTTAATGTATCCGTATTCCTCAGGATTGACTAGGCGGTATTATAGTATCAAACTAACACAGAGATCTTGGCAGCTTAATGCAATAAAAGCTGTATTTCACTCTATTGCATGTGAGACACATTTAGTAAAAATATATAATGGAAACATCAGGCATTTAATTTCACTCCATACACCAGGCAGCATGAGTATAAAATAATACAAATGCTTTCTAGCAAATGAAATTTCTCTAAAAATAATGGTAAATTTTGTTGTCAAGGCTAAAATACATTGTCTCCAAATACAGTACCAACCAAGGTGTAGCAAGGTTTACAGTTTTCAAATCATCCCAACCACAGAAGTAGGGTTAACTGAGGAAATGGCTTGTTAGCTGACATAGTTCCCACAATATCTGAAGATAAATGTATAATTTATAATACAAAAAGTTTTAAGCCAACATTGTATTTTAACCACAAAAATATTATGCCAATGATTACATAATTTTCATACTTGGTTTAAAACTAACAAAAACAGATTTAATTAACAGTAAGAAGGGCTAGGGTAATATTTTTCAAGTTTCATAATCAGGATAACTGATTAATATCGAAACAAAAAAGTGGGGGCACATGTGGGAATTATTTTCCTCTTACATAAGTACCAAGAGTTATATGTGGAAAACTCCTTGAGGACAGGACATGTTACTTACGAGTCTGCAGTAGCCAAATGTTGTATTTGTATGCCTGGTTACATCTCTATCTTTGTGGAACTGTCCTTCCTCCATCTTAAGTAATAACAACATTCATCGACCACAGTGCTGTGCCACATTCTTCCCACAGGAGTTATCACCTGACCTGTAGCCAACCATAGTATCTCACTCTCTGAATACAGTGATTGGTTCAGGGGTGAGCAGTTATTATAAACACAGTCAATATAAATCATTCCCTTGAGTTGAGATACTTACTTGAGAAGAGGGAAGCTTTATCATCTATGGATTGCTAAACTAGGACATATAACTATTTTCCCTGGTCAATTGTACAGCCTGATGCAGTCGGAGAGGGTAAGGCCAACATAAAGAAGAAAGCAGAGCTGGAAAAAGAATTGTGTTGTGTTTGAAGTCAGAACCAAAGCTGCACTTCTGGGTTATGTGAATCAATCCAGTCTCTTTTTCACTTTAGCTAATGTGAATTAGGATATTGTCACTTGTAATTGAAAGAGTCCTGACAAATACTTCATTTCATTCCTTTTTTTTTTTTTTAAAGAGAGAGGGTCTCACTCTGTTGCCCAGGCTGGAGTGCAGTGACATGATCATAGCTCACTGCATCTTCAAACTCTTGGGCTCCTGCTTAAGTCTCCTGAGTAGCTAGGACTACAGGCATGGGGCACCACTTCTGACTAACATTTTTTTATTTTTTGTAGAGACTGAGTCTCGTTGTGTTGCCCAGGCTGGTCTTCAGCTCCTGGCCTCTAGCAGTCCACCTGCCTCAGCCTCTTCATTCTTGAAAGTGCTGTAGGATGTACCACAATATGCCATAGCATCTTGTATGTAGCACTGAGTCAGTAAAGGTTTTATAATTCAATAAGCATTGGTAAATCTATCTTCTGGCATCCTCAAAAGGTATTCTTGGTGATCACGGCATAATTTTGTCAAATAATTATCATTATCTACTTGCTTCTCTAACTCAGTTCCAAGAGGAAAAAATTTTCTCTCTCTTTTTTTTTTGGTTAAAAGTTCTGCTTCCTATATGTAACACTGGATTTTCAAAGTATTGGCTGAATTCTTAACTAATGTGCCCATGTGAAATACCATTTAAAAATACATATATACATCAAGCTATGTTCACTTTTTTACCTATGCATTTTTCATTTTTATATGATTTATTTTTCAAACGTTTGTTATGCCATTTTTGGTAGTCAAGAAAGATTTCCTATTGGATATAATATGTAAGTAATTATAAGATTCTCAGACATGTTTATAAAATCTTATTTAACTCATATTGTTTATGGTGATAATACAATAGAAAGATAAATCCCTTTCAAGAGACCTGCATTCTAGTCCCTGTAACACCTTTTATTGCTTTTATGACAATGGCCAAGTCCTCTCTGAGGCATCTTTTTCTCGTAACAATATATACTTATATAGCATATGTAGTCATATGAGAAAGAAAATTGTATTTCAAACTCAGGAACGAGATCCTTTTTAGAGTAAGAACATTTTAAATTTAGTCTTTCATTCAAAATTTTGAGACTTGCAATGTATATCCCAAACATGGTCTGAAAAAAATAGGGCAAAACAAAGAGAAGTCTTAGTTGCTCAGTATGAAATCTGAGAAAGATTGAGACATGACCTTGGCCCAGAAGGAAGACACAGGGGCCTAGGAATGAGGACAAGGGGAAAAAAAGAAGGTCTGGTGGCAAGGAGTGCACACAACACAATGGCAGGCCAGGAGGCTGAGAAGGAGACACAGTCAACGCAATGTTCCCATGGTAGGAATGGCTGAGGGCTGTAAATATGTCTACTATTCAACTGTAAGTGGTTAGCTGGTCTCCACTGCATTACTCTCAAATACTACCCTCCACCATCACTGTCAGACTTTCTACAGAATTCTGCTACATGCAACCACCATGCATTCAGATTCCTTTGTGGAATAAATGTAAAAGGGGCGATATTCCATTTTTCAGTTTGGATGAAGTATGTGTAAGGTTGAGTAAATAAACCAGATGCAGAAGGTGAGGTACCAGTGAGATTGGGAACTTAATGTTGGCTTAAGCCCCTTTGAGAATTCTTGGAACACTGGCAAGAATCCTGGCAACAGTGGGCATTATGTACAGCCCACATGCAATCTCACATGTGCAAGTAACATCACATTATTTACATTAAAATCAATCTGATCTGACTCAGGGTCCTTATTATTCCTGCACGACCCCATATATTTTTGTGGGTCTGCTCCTTCCAAGCAGAGAAATATCTGCTGAATCTGGAAGTCCCTGCATTTAGGGTTTGGTGTCCATAGGCTGGTACCTTGCTATCACATTTGACAGTGAGACATGAGTCCCAAAGGAGAAGAGATATTGAAGGCAGTGAAAGGGAAAAGCAAGGTCAAAAATGTTGATACCAGAGCAGCTTTTTTTTTTTTTTTTTTCCACTGCACTTGGCACACTAATTCTATGATGATTAAATTAATGAATAAATGAATTCCTAATATTAAAGACAGAAAAATTTGGTTCAGAGCAGAGCAGTAATGGAGAAAAAGTTTTACCATTTATTTTTGCAGCTATGGCAGTATAAAGTTAGAAGAGACTTTAGAATCTATGAAATCTGATTCTTTAACCTCTGCATCAATACCATCTATAACTATGCTATCCAGTTTGGGAGCCATTAGATACATGTGGCAATGAAAATATTTTTTAAGTTGAAATTTAATTTTTCCATCATACTAGTCAATTTTAAGAGCTCAAGAGCCATATATGGGTAATGCAAGTATTCAGACAATATAGATATGGAATATTTTCATCATTTCAGAAAGCTATAGTAGACAACACATATTTATTACATCCTTATCAAATGATCATCTAGCCTTAGTTTTCATACGTCTTAACAAGTGTTCTTTATTATTGCATTTCAGGCCAGTCATATTGTTAGGTTGTCCTTGAAGTTTCTTCCATATATTTATCCTAGATATTTTAGACGTATGAACAAGATTTATTCTGTATAGAGAGTACTTCACTAAAGTACAGCTTAGAAATTCTTGTTAACAATAGGTAGTCTAAACTGAAATAGTTAGAACTAGATAGAATAAGAAAGTTTCCTAAGGACTCTCTTATAACTAAAGAATACAATTAATTCATGTAACCATCTCCATACTGGCAATTTAGTCAAAACTTAGAAGAAAAGAAATCCAATGGTAGAACCCTTTATGCTTCACAAAATGCTGAAATGCATAAAACCTTTAATTTTTTTGTTTCTATGTGCTAAATCGAATGCTATTTTGCAATTAAGAGTTCTGTATCTAACATCTTAGTGAATATCATCGTTTTCTATTAAATCCAAATATATCCATAAAGAAAGACTGAAAGGTGAAAATCTTTCACTAGTTTTCAAGTTTTAGAGGAAGTAAGGGTGGATATTTTAGAAAACCTCCCAGAAGGAACAAAATTAGTGATGGCACCAGACCATCTGAAAATTAGAGTATTGCTCACAATGACTTAATTCATACTTGTTTTATTAATGTCAACAATTAGAAGAGCTTCCATGGGGCATATAAACTTTTAAAGACCCTAAACAGTGAGCTGACACATCTTTCTGTACATAATAATAACCTTGTATCATCAAAAAAAACTACCTGACAATGTTTCTCTTTTAGCTAC